TCTATCGGCTAAATCATCATAGACGCTACGATGTAGATTACATCAAATATAGTTTGTTGCTCTAGCGTTAAATGGCGCGCAAAGCGACAATTTAGAATGTTGTAAATATTTACTATGTGGTGTGCCATAATGAGTTTAATTTAACAAGCCGGTGTCCTCTGTGTAGCAAGAGATGTATGGAGTATTTATGTTTGTTTGGTTTTTTTAATTATTTACATGCAGTGGAATGATTGATGCGTTGCAGAATGAACTCCACATTATTTAACTAATGAATGAATGGAGGATGGTACCTGTGTGGATGGTACCTGTGTGGATGTTACCTGTGTGGATGTTACCTGTGTGGATGTTACCTGTGTGGATGTTACCTGTGTGGATGTTACCTGTGTGGATGTTACCTGTGTAGATGTTACCTGTGTGGATGTTACTTGTGTGGATGTTACCTGTGTGGATGCTACATGCGTGGATGTTACCTGCGTGGATGTTACCTGCGTGGATGTTACCTCCGTGGATGTTACCTGCGTGGATGTTACCTCCGTGGATGTTACCTGTGTGGATGTTACCTGTGTGGATGTTACCTGTGTGGATGTTACCTGTGTAGATGTTACCTGTGTGGATGTTACTTGTGTGGATGTTACCTGTGTGGATGCTACCTGCGTGGATGTTACCTGCGTGGATGTTACCTGCGTGGATGTTACCTCTGTGGATGTTACCTGCGTGGATGTTACCTCCGTGGATGTTACCTGTGTGGATGTTACCTGTGTGGATGTTACCTGCGTGGATGTTGTCTGTTTGGATGTTACCTGTGTGGATGTTACCTGTGTGGATGTTACCTGTGTGGATGCTACCTGCGTGGATGTTACCTGTGTGGATGTTACCTGTGTGGATGTTACCTACGTGGATGTTGTCTGTTTGGATGTTACCTGTGTGGATGTTACCTGTGTGGATGTTACCTGTGTGGATGCTACCTGCGTGGATGTTACCTGTGTGGATGTTACCTGTGAGGATGTTACCTGTGTGGATGTTACCTGTGTGGTTGTTTGGCTTTAATCGTAGTATATTTGATGTTTTGGGTCATTTTTGTTTCACAGGCACCTCATTAAATAAAATTGTTTTAAATAATTGTTCAGTTTCTTTTGCTTTTTTTTATTTTTTTTTATTTTTGGTTTTAAAAATTCTTCTAGATACGTTCGCTTACATATATTTATATAATCACTAGAAGATGTGATC